GCTCTTTTGCCTTGAACAGTCTGACCTGCAAGGATGTCTAATGTTCCTGTGATTAGTTTGCATCTGCTGGGTTAACTGTCTTTAATGATAGTCAAACATGTCTGCAGTGCTTTCTGCCTCAGTTACTGGCTAGAAGTTGTGGTCACAGCATAGAAAACAGAATTGATTTGGTCCTTTGACAAGAGAGAGATGGGACAGCCTGAAAAATGGACCAGATTTGGGGCTATACCTCTGCCTGCAGTGAAGGAGAGCTCCTTGATGGCCTTGGGCTTTCCAGTGTTGAGCTTGTTGAGGGTCTCAGCAGTGCCAAAGGCACTCATGCCATGAGGAGCTTCCTCAGTCAGGCATTTGCAGGTGCTTCAGTGTTCCTGGGAATTGGAGCTGTGCTCTCACCACCTGGCCTCACTCCCCTTTGCTGAGATGCTTTGTCATCCTTTCCTTGTCCAGCAGAAGCACAGAAGCTGTAAGAGGAACGGGCATGGGACTGGGGGGCCCTGTGTCTTTGAGGAGTTACAGGGCCACCAGCAGCTCATCATGAGCCAGGTCTGGTGTCACTGAAACTTCCAGACCCATTACAGGGGTGGCAGCAAGGTCCCATTAGTGTAAACCTTGCACAGATAAAACCAGATTGAGGTTCCTCGTCTGTCTTCGTATAAATCCTGTTCTGTTAGGTAAGCCCAACACAAATGTAGGAGGCATTCTGCAAGGGAAACTCTTCAGAGGGATGCTTTGAGGTTGTTTGTTTATTGACTCATTTATTTCCCTGAGAACTGGAAGTAAATAAACATGGATTCTCTTTTTTTTAATTATTTTTTTCCCTCTGGGTGATTTGCTTACATAGGTTCAGGTTGTGTGAGTGTGTTTCTGGTCTGCTGGCAGGGTGCACAAGGCAAGGTATGGTTCCCAGTGGGGCAATGTGTCCTGTTGCAGGACAACAAGAACACTTGTTGGTGATTTCAGCAGTGACTGAAACTGGAATAAGCACTGAGCTTGAGCAGACTTACTCTTTTAGGAGATGCTCATTGCTTGCTGCAGGTGAAGGACACTTATGGATGTGTCTGTTCTTTAGGTAATCAAAGGCATTAGTAGGCAGGGGATTCTCCTGAACATTTTTAAATGAAAATGAAATGGACTTAAAAATGCAAGTTATGGTTGTGCTGTGAATAGAGATTCAGCTTCCTAGGTCTTAGCAATGGATGCCTGAGCAGACAAGTTTGAAGTAAAAAATGAGTGATGTTTTTGTGATGTTTTTGGCTGAAAGGACCATATCTGAAATACTTATGTACAGAGAAGCAGAGTTCAGAATAAAAACAAATATAGCCCAAAAGATAAGGAATAAGTCCCACTAAACATTGTTATTTGCATACTACAAGGGAGGACTAGTTTATGCAAAGGAGAGAGGAGGAATGAAGAACTGTGTTTTCTGTACTGCAGTATATTTTTTCAGATATCCCAGTCATCAGGGGTGGGATTTTTGAATGCAGTTGGAGTTTGTTATCCTCAAATGAGGTTAGAATTCATCCTTTGTTCTGGCAATAAATTACGTAAACTGTGGAAATTAGAAGCTGTTTGGCATGTAAGAATTAAAGGGTACCTTTAGGCAGACTTGCAGGAGTGTCCCCAGGCAAACCCATGCTGCTCATGCATGTTCCCAAAGGCAGGAGAGCTAACCTGGGGAAAAACCAGTAATGGCTTTTTTCTGGCCCTATGAACTGACCTTGCTCCCAGCAGGGGTTGGAGACATGCCAGTGCCAGGGATGTGGTGGGGCTGAGGTGGGACAGGGCAGAGCAGGGCATGGGGATCTCCCTGTGCATTACACCAGTAGGGTCCATGGGCTGCCACATCCCATGCTCCAGCACTCTAGGGCTGCGCCTCTGCGACACGGATCCTTCTTTGAGTCCTCCTCCAAGAAGAGCTATTTTATGATTGCTTATAGCAGTGGTGAGATTGTTGCAGCTCCCCATGCTGCTTAGCTGGACCTTCAGGAGGGGCTGAGAAGCTTAGGGGCTCTGTCACAAAGTTCCCTTGAGCCTGAAGCCCCTTGAGGCTCCATGGCTTTTGACTGCGTTTCTTTTTGTTTGCATGACACAGCTTCTCGCAGACGCCAACAGCATCAGGAAAAGAGGATGCCAATGATAACATCACTATATTCACCAGGATCTTGGATGGTCTGCTGGACGGCTACGACAATCGGCTGCGCCCAGGACTGGGAGGTAGGATAATGCATTTGGTGTGGCCAGTCCCCCATTATGCGGGACCATTGTCTACATGATGGGCTCTCCAACAGGTGCCTCCTCTCAGGCCTTGATGAGGCAGTTGTGTTTCATTAGCTAAACAAAGCCCAGAAAGTACCTTTTGTCTCCTGGCAAAGAGTGACAAAGGTCACTGAAAGTCATCTTCTTTCAGTCCCTGAGGTCATCTGAGGTTGGGTTAGGAGAGCAAGTGTGATGCTTTTTTTTTTTCCCGTAATCGAATACAGTTTGGGTTTGTTTTCTTTATGATGCTGCCTAAGGTGAGCGAGATAGGGTGCTAGCAGGTGGCTGCAAGGTTTCCTCACTGGTCAGCGTGTTTAAAATTATGTGGTGACAAAAATCTCAGTTAAAAACAGATCCCCAAACCATCCGTTTTTAGACAACTACAGCAAATCTGTATTGGTATGTCATTTTGATAACCTCTACAGCAGCTATTTTAGAATCATAGCATGTGAATAGTTGCTTGCCATCCTAACCTTGTTGAGCCCTCCTTCAGCTCCCTGTCCTCCAGATTTCTCTCATGCTCTACCCATGTGTAAACCATCTGTTATGTTTCTTCCTGGCCCTTTTTTAATCTGACTACCCCCTCCCCTTCCTCTTGTGAGACCAACACATTGCTTTCATCCCTTTCTCTCCTTCTCCTCTCACTTTACACAGACATGCTTGAAAATAGGGCTCGATGCTCATATCTTATGTAACAAACTTCTGAAATTTCTGCCCTTAAATTAAATTAGTCCTGGGTTTGAAAAGATGCCAGAAGGCCTTAGGGTCTCGAGGGTAGCATTAATTTCACCTAACTTTGGACATCTCTAGTATAGTTATCTGAAGTTGGGCAGATCAGCCAAGCCAGCAGAGGGGAATAGGTCCTCCCAAGATACACTTCACCTCATCTTCTAGTGCATATTGAAACCTGTCTGCCAGAGGAATCACATCTTCAAAAGGCCTGTTGCTTTCCACTGCTAATAAGCAAAGAGCCTGGCTCCCAAAGGTTGACATCTGCCTTTGATCAGGGATTAAATTCCTCCTCAACGTCTTAATTTCAGACTTTTGTGGATTTTTTAATTATTCAGACATCGTTAATAGAGAAATGCATCAGAAGCACATGTTTGCAGTAAAGCAATTGCTAATGCAGAGCCTGTATTTATTACAGAGAGAATCACTCAGGTGAAAACAGACATCTACGTTACCAGTTTTGGTCCTGTCTCAGACACAGAAATGGTAAGTTTGAGCACGTGGTTCTCAACTCCATTGTATGTACTTTGCTGAAGTACTTTTTGGAGCCGTCACTGCTATTCAGAGCCTGCAATACCTTGCCTGTTTCTTTGTGCCAGGAATACACAATTGACGTGTTTTTCCGACAAAGCTGGAAAGATGAAAGGCTGCGATTCAAAGGCCCGATGCAACGCCTGCCCCTCAACAACCTGCTCGCCAGCAAGATTTGGACCCCAGACACTTTTTTCCACAATGGCAAGAAATCTATTGCTCACAACATGACCACCCCAAACAAACTGCTGCGCCTGGAGGATGATGGCACTCTGCTGTATACCATGAGGTAATCACTGGCATCAGTTTCTTCTGACGCTGACTCCCAACTAGCTCTGCAAATACTTGTGGGGAGCACCACTTCCCCCTCTCCTAGTAGAGCCAGGCAACCAATCCCTCACACATATTTATGTAAATATCAAGAAAAATGGAAATCATAATCACTGCCTACAAGTACCAATTAATTTGCAGCTTCTGAATACTGCTAGTGCTTAAATATTTCCTTTGATTAAATGGAAGGCATACTCTCAACAGATTTGATGATTCAGTCCAGCTTTTTTATGAAGATCTGTTATCTCTCACTGTTTGTATTTGCAGCTGCATGCTGATTGCAGGAGAGCTGTCTCCAAGGCCAGAAACTGAGATCTTGTTCTGGGGCAGTCCATCTGGAACCCTTGGAGATTTTATTTTTATTTCACTAATAGTGCTGAAAGACAAATGATCACAGGAAGAAATGAAATAAGCTAGCAGCACTGTGAAGCTGCATTAGCAAGTGCTTTGCTGAAAACAAAGCTGGCACATTATATTGGCAGAAAATCCAATTGGTGGCTCAGATCTTCAGGGTCGTGCACCTCATCTGATTAGAGGATGCTGTCAAGTTTCATCATTGTGTAACCCAGATATAACATTGATGATGATAGAGCATTGTCTGAAATTCTTCTCAGGACAAATCCCATGCTGATGTACGGCAATTTGCTCATTAAATGTAATTAGCCTATAGTAATTAAGACTGCTGTCTGTCTTCAACAAGGGTTTTTTTCTCCAAGAGCATAGTTATATGGACAACACTTGAAAAAAAAGATGAAAGGAAAAACCTACCTAGCAACAAAATGTTATTCTGAGCTGTTCACATACGAGCCTGGAGTTATGTCTGAGACCCAGTGTGAGCTGAGCTCCCACTGGCACCTTGTCCTGCTGTGGGGCTCTGCCCCACAGAGCTGACAAACAGCCAGTGCAGCATCTGGGGTGGGTGAGCCATGAGATCGCTCCCGGAGCATAGTGGTTAAGGCTTGTTTGGACTCAAGGGGATTACACTTTCATATGCAGGCACCAGGAGCTTCCCAGGTTTTAGTTCCTGTTTTTCCAACCTATTTTATCTATGTATTCATTTATTTTGTCCCTAGCCTTAAATCCGTTCTTCTGAAAGGAAAAGATATTTAGGAGAAGCAAGGTATCCTTACGGAAGTCTTTACAGTTGTAGCTGGCAAAAAGACTTCGACATGATAGAGGTTGTGTTTAAAAGAAGGAAAATATCTTCTTGTCTTCTCTTCTGCTAAGTGTATTGCTGTTCTTCATAGCCCCAAGTTTGTGGTCTCCACAATAACAAGCTCCTGAAACAACGGGAGGATATGCATATATGCTTAAATGAATAAGCGTCAGAGAAACCTGTATTTCACAAAATTACTGGTAATGTTGGCCTTGAAACCAGTCTCACTGCCTCTAGGACTACACTAGTACAACTCCAGAGACTGCAGCAGAGGCAGTTCCTAATTATCTGTATAAATTACCTGTGCAAGTAAAGTCCAGACCAGGCCAGCAGTCAGGCTGGGGCAAAGCACTAGGTGGTGTGGCGGGTTGGCAGCTGGAATGCTGTTGCTGTGCAGGCAGTGCTGAAGGGATGCAGGGAAGCATTGATTCATGAGGCAATCAGCTGAACTATCCGAGATAGCAGAGGTGAACTCCTTGCCAAATCAGAGTTACTCTGGGAAGGTACCTCTCTTGCAACCATGGCAGGTATTGTCACGTTAGGTGCCACAAGCTATAAGTATATTGAGGAAAACACAGTGCCCTGCTCTGGAGAAAAACTTGGGTTTCACACAGCCTTTCTCATCGTCCCACTCAGTCCCTTTTACCCTGGTTTTCATGGGAGGAAAGCTCTTTGGGATTGATGTTTTTTAGGCTACAGAAAGACACAGAATGCTTTTGTAACCTAAAAAAAAACATGCTGCATAACTTATTTTTTTGTAGAGTATTGTATGTGGGTGTGTATGTGTGTGGAAATAAATTCCCACTAACCATGGTGAATGTGATAAGAAATGGAGCGCAAAGCTTTTTAAATAGCTTGCCTTCCACTATTGCAAGTAATAACCTTAAAAATAAAAGAATGTCCATGCTATTCTCTCTAAACACAAGTCAGGAGACTGCTTTTGTCACATACATGGAGCTGTGCTACTTTAGGGACAGCAGTTTTTCATGATGGGCATTTCAGCAGCATGAGTGATGCTTTGCCATGAGGTGGCTTGAGGATTCAGTCCCAACCTGTGCAGAGGTGGCTGGGATGTGCAGCCAGCCCCTTCAGCTGCCTTTGCATGTCCCAACGAAGGTAATAGCTCAGCAGTGGTACCTAGCATGGCTTTCTGTGAGAAGAAAGGCAGCATTGGGCTTTTTGAGGTGAGAGCTGCTTGTCTCAGAGGTGGTGAACTGGTTGAAGGTCCTGGGTGTTAGCTGGGGCTTGAGCCCCATCTCCTGTAGCTCTCATTGGGCTTACTCAGTGCTCAGGCTTTGGGGATGTGGAGACAACCCTCTGTTAGTTTTGCATTTCCCTCATTTCCAAGGAGGAATTGTGAGCTTCCCAGACTGTACGTAGGAGTAATCTGTGCAGGGAGGATTGGACCCTCTGTCATTGACAGAGACGCCTGAATTGCTTTCACAACCTTGCATCTGGCTGCCTGAATGATGAGAAGGGAAGCAGCCAAGCCAGTACTGACCTTCTATCTTATTTGATTTCCAAATATGCAGAGTATGATCAGCTGAGCAAACTTCCAGCTTTAGCACTTGTCAGGACATACATTTTCATGATACATATGTTTACTTCTAAAGAAAAATGTATTCTTGGCATATTTCATTTGATGATGTGTTGTCTAGGCCAGAAGTTGATGGGATATATGTTGCTAGGAAAATCTGATAAGCAGGCCTCTATATACATCTAGTAATAAAATCTTTCTGCATTAATATAGGAGCACAAGATGCTCCTATACTTGCAGACAAATTTCATAGGCAGCAGCGTTCTCTGCAGGGAACGACTTAATAATTCTGGTTGTTTTTTATTTGGTAGGCCCTAATTGTTTTGTTTTGTTAATGTAGTTTACAAATGATGCACTGTTGAATCCAATGTTGCAAATTCTGTTTCTGCCCCTAGAGGGAGGCATTGTCTGTATCTCCTGCTTTTAAATGAGTTTGTTTTGTGTTGTTTTAGTAAGAACAATGTGGTAAAAAAGCACTTGCAAATATGCTTCTTATTTCACTAATCTGTATATAAAATAGCTTTGTGAATGGTGGCAATACTTAGATACTTTCCCTTTCCAAACTTTGAAGGTATTTAGTTTATCTTTTCTGAGCAATAAAAGAAAAAAGCATAAAATGCCATGAAACTATTCTGAAGAAATGGGGACAGTGACTCATTCAAGCAACCTTTTCAGGCTAAGAGAAGCAACATGTCTCAGTGAGCTGCATTTTTTCACTCAATGGGAATTGGCTACAAACACAGAAGCTCTGATAAACTTTGCTGTAGAATGCCAGGAAAAAAAGCTGTAAAGAAGCCAGAAATTGTGTGAAGTAGAGCATGCTCACTATAGCTAAGCTTTTGGACCATACATCAGCTTTTTGTCAGCAGCCCATAGGCATTTAAAAATTATTTTCTACCAGCTTGTAGATACTGAAAAATCTCTCTGTGTCCTCACAAGGGCTACAGAACCCCGCTCTCACTGTCACTTTGAAAGAACCCCAAGCCCCTTTTGCTACCACTAGAACTGCCAGACATCTGATGTAATGTGAGATTTTAAGTGTGACATGGTCTTGATATCTGAAGAGTGTACAGACAGATTTTTCCCGTGGCATTATGATGACTGAGGGATTGCCAGAGATCCTGAGAGTGGTTTTGGTTAAATCTGTCGCCATAATCTGCAAATGTATGATTTATCAGCTGGAGACTGCAGACATCTGTTAGCATAGTGTTAAGAATCTCCAAAACTTTGAGTACAGCCCTGAAATGCAGTTATCTTTACCACTCCTGAAAGACCTTTGGAATTCAGCAGTGTGTGGGCTGGTTTTCCGCTTGATGGCAGCATAACCTCACTGCTTGCTGTTCTGCAGGCTTGTCTGTGCTGAAAATACTGTTTCTTACATGAACGCTGAGCATTAAAATTGTATGTGTGCAAGTGTACATGTGTCCTGGGTGCAGGTTAGCACAAAGTCTGGCCTTCTGTGAAGCACTTGATTAGCACGCTAACCAGTGATGCTGTAGAGCTGCTGATGATAAAACCAGCTGACTGCCTGATATGGGGCTGCTTTCAAGACTTCCATTGGGAAACCCAGGTTATGCTTGCATGGAGTTTTTTAAGAGGAAAAGATGCTATGCAAAATGTGTGGGTTCTCAGCACTGACTTTGCCAAGAAGGCAGCCTTTCCCAGATGCAGGTTGGCTTGTGTGGCCCTGAGCAGGGAGTAACCAGCCAACCTATGCTTTAAAATCAACTTTTTTTTTAAGTCAGTCAGTTCATCTAGATTGGAACATTTCTGCTCAATTTCAATATGTTGTTCTATTTCAAAAGGAAAGTTTCATTTGTGCATCCATCTATATTTGCAGGAAGGGATCTGTCAATGCTTTTGAGCTTTGTATAAACATAACAGAACTAATTAGGAGCGATCAAGCCATACAACTGCATACTTCCTTTCCCTGTGTTAGACTTGCTGCCTTTTCTTTCATATTCAAGCCTCAAACTGACTGAAGCTGGAAGAAAAAAACTATTTCTTCACATTGGGCTGAGTCTTGCAGAGGAATGAATAACTGCCGTGGTGGCAAAGACTCTCAGCTGCTTTTCATCCATGCAGATTTTGACAGAGTGAAAGAAAATAGTGAAAGGCCCTTCCCTGAGGATAGCAGCAGGATTCATGTTTCAACACCAAGCCTCTCAGTACCCGTCTCTCTGCTTTGATTGCACGTTGCCCCATTTCTCAAAAGTTATCCTTCAAGGAACCAGGATTTGTTGTTTTGAAAAATCCGTGGCTGGAG